ATAATGCAGGTTGTAGGGATTAATGAGTGGGGCTACACAAGCTACTGTTGCCTAAAAAAATTTCTAATTGTGAGCAATGCTAGGGACGTGAAGTGTCCATTGATAAATTATCATATCTGTCTGTTATTTTCTACTGAACAATTTTGACATGCTGCAGGCTCATCTCTAGTGAAATCCTGTCTGACCTATATACGATCGTTCCCCTCCCCTGAAAGCCGTCGCCTTCCGCATTTTCGTCGATTCCCTTGCCCCAAGAATGCTGGCCACCCTCCGCTGTTGACCTATTTCACTCGAATACACACTTGTGTTAAAACAGTCATGATTGGAAAAGTGTCTCTTGAAAGCGCCGCCCCTCCCCCCCCTCTCGGTCCAACGCAGGAATGCTAACTAAAGGCGCAGCTGTTGTCCCTGGCTGACCTGAACACCCTTCCCTTCGCATGCAGTAAGTTGCGACTCCTCTGAGGGCCACCCCTCCAGCCGACGCATTCCGAGAGCCTTGGACATCCCTTCCCCTGGCCGACTCGTTTTGGGTCTCTGTACACGACACCCCCTCTTCCGAGCTAAATGTTCACACCAATCGGATTGCATATGAACTGGCTCCTGGAGTCACATAAAAGCAGCGGTCGCCCCCTCTCCCAAGACTGGCTTCACCTTGCACTTGTATGGCGTTGCTGAACATGTGTCGTTCTCTCGTCTAGAGTCTCTTATTCCTGACTGCGTGTATCCATTGTTAAGGTTTTACCTCATTTATCCTTAACTATTTGTTCAATAGTACCGTTCTACATTGATCGTTTGGCAGGATTGATTTTAGAGGCCCCCAAAATACCGTCGACTTATAATAACAAAACTACTTTTAAATGTTCGGTAGCCTGACTTTAAATTGTTTCGTTAAATTCCACCAATAGGAGGATGAATTTCCATTTTCGTTATACTCCGCCTACATAAGGTCGAATTTCCCTCGATTGGCATTCGTACCCTGCGCAACAGAAGTTTACGTTGATCGAATTTTTTTCTATTTTAGCATATTAAAATAAACACAATCTTCTTTAATTTAATCTATTTTGATCACTTCCGCCACAATTAAATTTTAATTTACGCTCACTAGCTAAGAATTAAATGTTTGACCTAAAAATACGTTAAGGTTTTGCCTCATTTATCCTTTTGCTATTTGGTTAATACAGTAGTCGCCGGCTATTAAGCCCACCTCGGGCACAGACCAAATTGGGCTTAATAGGCGGCTGGGCTTAATAACCGTGGGCCTTAGTACAGTAGTCGCCGGTTATTAAGCCAACTTTGGGCCCAGACCAAATTTGGCTTAATAGGCGGCTGGACTTATTAACCCTGGGCTTAATAGCCGGCGACTACTGTAGTAGCGTACTACATTGATCGTTTTTATCATTCGGGTTTGACGTACGTGTCACGACTGAATACAGGGTCAGAGGGGGCAAGAAACTCGGAACACTATCTATTTACTAATACACTTTTAAAGCATACAACTCGGTTAACACCCACCGTAACATGAGCCCTATATGGCATCTTCTTATTGATGTATAGTAATGCATGATATTTTCTGCGCAGAAAAGTACGGGACAACAGTTCGTCGAGTTCAAAAGTAATTCGATAATTTAAAAAATTTTAACCGAAAGAAACCTTTTTTTCAACAGTAAGAGTAAAATCGGCATCTGTCGGTTTTAAAAGATGATTCTACTTATGAGTTTTTTAAGTCCGCCTTAAATCGAAAGATACTCCTTCTTCAAGTAAGGAATTTAAGGAAGACGTAAGTTGCAACCAAATGAATAAATGTGCATTTTTCCGGAAAATCTGTTTTAATTAATAAATGCGTCGAAAAAACGCCTACTAACTGAACGGTCACGTTGTACAGAGCGCAGTTTTTGCAGGCAACCGGAAAGAGGCTTGTTCAAGAGCCGGTATCCTGACGTGACTGAAATAGTTTTGGATCTTGCTGCACGCTAATTAATGTTACAACCCAACCTGACTTATCTTTCCAAAATTAAAACACGTTTCAGAATTTCGGTGGACATTTCAAGCTACTACAGGATCATCTTGATCAAAGCAGAACTACTGGCCAACAGCGTGCTTAGGTACACATTATCCCGACCCGACGTCCCCTACCAATTAGGGTCTGGCTCCTGTACAACAGTATTTTGGGGTACGACAGAAGCTGTCAATAGAAAACGGAGATGTAGGCGTGAGGCTGCTGTGGCAGCGTCTGTTATCCAACATCAAAGTTGGATGCGTCGATTTCCAAAGAACTCGCCTTGGCAGCATCCCCTCTAGGGAGCACCTAACACACTAATTTGCCTGGAGGAAGCATTCGGGTTTAAAGGCTTATTGGACGCCAGAATAGACCCTTCGTAAAAAAATAAAGCAAGTTATCTTGCGCCTAATTCCCTGACCTCCCTTGGAATTTAGCGCACGGCCGCCTGTAATCCGGGGAGGCGGCCATTTCTGCGTCCTACTAAGACGCCTTCTCTCCCAGTGGTTAACTATGCTAACAAATATAGTCACAAACGTGCTGTAAGGTTGCTACTAAGACCAAGCAGAATGGTAGCGAAAGGGCCAGCAAAATAAATCCTACCTGCAGGATAAAGCGCCATCAGAATTCTCCAGTAGCCAGGTCACAATATCGGATCCAAAGGCACACCGCGCGGATCCCACATTAACCAGCCTAAGAGGAAGGAGTGTTGAGCAGCGCGCTGATCCCATCTCCTGTTTGGATGGTACTACTGTCGACTCCGATGACTGAGAGGCTTCGGAAGGTTTGAAGAAGTTGGAGAGGCGCGAGAGGAAGTTGCCTGAGGTTGGCGATGGTAATGTTCGCTGGTCAACCACGCAGGCGCCTGGATTAGTGAGTGCTGATGTGTCGAGGTCCGTGGCAGAGGAACAACCAGACATTTTTAGCCATAGAGTGAGGAACGTTTGTAAGCTGATCGATGGACTTGGGCGTACTGCAGGCTGCTGTTGCTGCTGCTCTGACTGTAGCTGCTTCTGCGACAGGCGGCGAGGCCCGCCAGACAAGGAATCCGAATTCGGCCTGTGGCGTGAACCGCAAGGCATTCTGTTAGTGTCTCCCTCCTCTTGATTCGGGAATAGTTTGGTAATATCCGCACGCTGCTCTTGTCTGACGGGATGCCAAGTATGCACAGACATGGCGTTGACAGCAGTGGACGCCGTAGATTCCAATCGACTAAACAAATGCCACTGGGGGGCCTGCGGTCGATCCCACTCGACCATCCTTTTGCATCCCTCCCCGCCGGGCAGAGCTGGCAAGTTGGGGGTCAGCTGATTTGCTGACTGACTGGATCGTGAGGAGTGTGGCAGCAGGGGGTCGTTTGTTGGATCAACGGAGAAGACGCGAGGCCCAGTGAAATTAGTCAGAGCAGTGTTCGTGTTCTGCAGTGGGGAACAAGTTCTGGAAAGATTGTCTAGATTGTACTCCGGAGAGAAGTCACCGCTGAGGGAGAACTTACGTACCTCGACATTTCGATTTTCTGACGACAATGCTCGGCTTGTGGCACAGAATAAACAGGCCCTCTGCATACCTGGTTGACCAATGCTGTGACCATCAAGCAGCTAAAATAAAGAAAAGAAATATTGTAAAGTTCTTTCTAGAGAGGCGCTTTGGTTAGCTGTTCACAACTGGGGAGATAACGCGACATTAGTATGAAAATGGCCCAAACACAAGTGATGATGATGATGATGATGAGCGAGTTGTTTGGTGGTGGT